CAGCTCATCTTGGCTTGCCAAGACTGAAGTCCAGGTGGTGGAAAAGAACTCTGAATTCAGCAATCCCAACAACTGCAGTGGGAACATAATCACAGCAGGGTTTTTTTGGAAGTTAGTGGGGTAGGACTGGCACTATTGCCTTCCAAGACAGGACATGTGCTGCCAGCTAATTATTGGTAATTTCTAGGAAGGAGGAGGGTGGGAAAGTGGGAAAGGCAGAAGAAGTGGGAGAACTATTTGCATGTCTGAGAGTTTGTGGCAATTAATGCTTTGCTCATGAAAGAAGGCGGGGAATATTTAATTGGGTTTACGTGTAAGTCTCTATTTCAGTGTGGAAATGTGTGCCCAGAAAAGGGGCAGCTGTGGAGAGAGAAGCTGTGGAGGTGCAGGAGGTCAGGTATAAGTGGGCCTTCGTCATTGTTCTATACATTAATTACTGGAAGTGAAGGATGTGCTAAAAGTAAACCTGGTTCACCGTCCTATTGTCTCAGCCACAGGCTCTTGGCACTGTGCAGCTTAACTTTATAACCTGTGCTCTGCTTTTTACATTTATTTTACTTGATTAGCAGGAAAACATCCGTTGTTGGAGCCAAGTGGGACTGCAGGAGCAGCTCTGTGCACTGGTACTTTAATCCCTGCTTTCCTTTGAGCACACAGAAGCCCCAGCCCCGTTCTCTGCCAGTGTTTGTGTTTGTAAATGAGCACAGGCACTGGAGAATTGCTTAATGAGCACCTCGTTAGCTTGGTTTCATTTAGCTCTGGGGAGTTGGGGTTGTAGGACTGGGCTCCAACAAAACCTGCTTTTGTGCTGAGAAATGTGGAGGACGTTTCTGTGGACAAATGTCACCCAGGTACTTTTGCTCCAGGACATCTCGAGACATAACCCTGCTCCCTCAGTGGCATTTTTGGGAGGTTGGGAGTGCTGGGGGGTGTCCATGGCATTCCCACCCTGCTCCCTGACCCCGCTGCCCGTGGCCCCATCAGCTCTGCCAGCCTGCAGGAACTTTCTGTGTGGCTGCTGTTATTTGGCCAAAGTTTGTCTTCCCCTGTGTAAAAATTATCACCTCACCAAGGGTAAAATTTGATCTTTAATGTGGGAATAAAAGACCTGAGCACAGGCTTGAGTCTTTACTGCAAGATGTTTGCTGTTGGGTGTTGTGCCCTCGGGTTACCCACCCACTTACCTGTCTACCTGGAAGATATTATTATCTTCTGTATGATAGATCAAATTGTGTTTTTAAAGGCAGTTGCCTGAGGCTCTTGCAAATGCTGAGTTGCACGTGATTCCTGCAGATGAAAACATTGGTGGTTCTACCAAATAACAAAAGCAACCGAGGAGGGGACAGGAAATAAAATATCCAGAATTGGGTACAAAATCTGTCCTTTACTCATCTGGCTTAAAACTGTACCTAGAGACACAGAAATCCATAACTTCTAATCTTTTTCTTCCTTTCTGAGATGAACAGCTAAGCCCCTTCTGCCACCCCTGGTCCTCACTGCTCTCCTGTTCCTTCCTGGGCATTGTTTCACTGCTCCCTGGTGTTCTGGCAGAACTTTCCAGCTTTGTGTTGCCATCAGGTTTCATTAGTTTATGATTTACTCTTCTGTTCCGGGCTCATTTGTGAAAGTACGAAGTAGAATTGCCAAGCATTGAGAAAGTACAGTTGTAATCCCTTTTGTCCCAATGATTTTCCTTTCAAACACAATCCCTGACCTTTCCTTAACGAATTGTTTACCCGCCTTGGTCCTTGATTGAGATTGCCCTTTATAATTTAAAAAGTACCACGTGGGAAGCTCTGTGTTATAAAGTGCTGGAGACCCATCAGAGAGGGAGCAGCTTTTTGATGATGCTATGGTTTAAAAAAACACCTGTGCAGTGAATTCATGAATTCAGGTACAACCTGTAGTCATTGTAATTCCACTGGTGGTAAAACTGAGTGTGGTTTGCTCTGGCTGTGAAAGGCTGAAATCTTGATTTCCAGACCCACTCTCCATCCACTGTTCTTTAGGATGCATGTGATAATCCAGTAATCCTATAGATATTCAAGCATTTCCCATACTTTTACACTGTTCTTTGTTGTGCTTGTGCTTTGTCTTCCAAATAGAACAAGGCTTTAAAATTTGGCTTTTTCACCGCTCCTGGATTTTTTTTGTACTCCTTTCTCTTTTCCCATTGGAAGTCGAGGGAAATGTCCCAGTGTCAGAAGTTCATGCTGACAGTGACATTGGCATTGAGGCTGTGCCAGGTGTGCCCAGGGAATGGGAATGGGAATGGAAGGGGGGCTGAGGGTGACCCTGCTCCCAGCAGGGGCTGTTTGGGCCGTGAAAGCCAAACTGAGCAGCAGCATTCCCAGCATCCCCTGTGCCCAGAGCTATTTCTGCTCATCATGTGTCTGAAAGGGCTGTGCTGTGCCTGGGAACGGGGCTGGGAGCTGGGATTTCGGGGCAGGCGGGAATTCAGACCCCCTTTATTGCGTGATTATCGGGACGGTGGGGGCACTTGTAAGGATTTAGACACCAGAAAGGGGAGACCCCAGGAAAACAATCAACATCTGTTGAGTAATCCAGCTCATCCCTGGGCTGGCCTGACGTCATGTGTGATTTTGTGGTTGCCAGGCGACTCCAGCTGCTCCAGCCTCCTCCTTTCCAAAGAGGGATCCATGGAAAACACACCACGGGCTGGGCTTTATCTGCCCCTGATTTCTTAAACGTTCCTCCTCTTTCAGCAGGGAGGTGTTTTTCAGAATCCTGGCAAATAAAATCCTTTTTTATTTTTTTTTTATTATTAATATTATTATTATTTTAGAGGGCTGGTGGTTCTGGTGCGTTTTAAAAATCAACGAGGCAGCTTGTTAACTCCGAGCTGGATCCTGGTGCTATATATCATTTATGTTTTGATCAAGGAAAAAAAACAGTTTGTGGAGGAGATGAAAAGGGAGATGACTGCAGGGCTTCTGAGTGCTGGCAGGAGGGTGCATCAGAGCAGTTTTTGATGTAGTTTTATATAAGATAAGGGTCCTACATATGAAAAACAAACTACTCTTTGGTCCTTAATATTTCCTCCTTTAAGTACATGTAACAAATAAATTGTGAAGTGTATACAAGTAAGTGTGGCTGCATTTCCTGAGCATTGATTTAGCTTTTAAGGACATTAGCAAGGGGAATTTACAACCATTTTTGGCCACTTTTCCTGCTGTATTGCAACTAAAGAGCAGATCAGATAACTGGGAAATGGAATCCATGTAACTAAAACAGATGAGGAATTTTTATTAGTCTTTTTTTCCCCCTTTATGCAGGTGTAGAGGGAGAAGTTGCTTGGGGCACCAAGCTGAGATCTGCTTCTTGATATGCTTCAAGTAAAAAAGGCTGGAGGAATTTTAGGTGCTGATGCTCCTCCTGAGTTGAATTTGAACTTTCCAGAGCCCTGTAAGAGGATTCTGTGGAGCTGAGCAGTTACCTGGCTGGGATGGGCAGGCTGGGGTGCTTTGGGCATTTCCTGGTTTGTCACCTAATCCCTTCAGAGAAGCTTTGAAGAAAAACTTCCTAAGTAAAATTATCCCAAGCAGACCAAACTAGTTAATGAAGGCCAGAGTGGTCCTTGTTGCCCTTAAACACTTGGGATTCCTTGAAGGGAGGACATAATTTTTAGAAATTACATGGACACTGACTGGAGGATTCATCATGTTTTCTAATCAGATAAATGCTGTGAGAGGATCTACAGATGAAAGAAAGCTTTTCCTTTTATCTGACTTTCTTGGGGATCAAATTTTTACCAGAAAAATTAAAAATACTGCACTCAGCCCTTCAGGGGTTGTTTTCCAGGTCTTGTCTAGACTGAATATACTGATTTAATCCACTGCTTTGACACTGCTGTGTGATGTACTTTTATTTCCATATTGTCCTGGAGACATTTCTCTTTAATTGCCTGCTGGGCCACACTCCAGAGCTGGGAAGTCCAGAGAGCAGATTTCTCTTATGAAGATCTCGGGGCATCTTTTTGGAAGGAGGAGAGCTCAGCATGGAGTGTTTTTACCAGCTTTTATCAGATGTGTTTCTCGAGCCATTCAGGTCTTTCTACTGTCAATGCCCACTTGAAAGGCCACACGAGTTTGCAAAGACTTGGAGATGGTTCTGGGAAGGTAATTAACCTCTTTCTGTGCTTAGGGACACCAGTTTGGATGGTGATTACACAGAGTTGATGGCCTCCATTAAAAATAGAAATCCAATAACTGAGGAAGTCCACACACTGAATTCTTCTGGAAAAAGATTTCTGCAGGCTGGGGATGAAAACACTGCTTAGCAAAGCTGGATCTCCTCCTTCCTGGGCAAATGAAAGCCTTCAGTGTGACAAACATACTGCACTTCTGTTAGGAACATTTTCAAGACATCTTAGTTTATAAAGGATGTTTAAGTGATTTTTTAGTGGGGGGAAAATAGCAAAAAACCTTTCAGCTGGGCTATTAAAACAATTTTTTGTCCCTTAAAAGCAAAGAGTAATGAGTATCTCTGTGTAAAGATACAGTAAAAATGCCTAAATGTCACTTAAAAAGGGCAGTGATGCACAGGGAAGTACAAATGTTATTGAGCAGTCAAGGTCCTCGTGCTTCAGAGAAGCTCAATAAATTTCTTATGCAGTGCTGGAGTTTACAAGGCAAAAAAAAATAGTATCTCAACATGCCTGTGGTGACAATCCTCTGAACACTTTAAGTCTTGCTTCTTAGAAATGTGTGAAAGCAAGGAATTCTTGGTTTTCTTTAAAACCAGACTGATTTCCTTAGGCTTGCAAAGGAAGAACACTTTAAATCCACTGCTGAAATGTTTAGATGACTTTAAATGCCAGTCCCTCCCCCCCCAAAAAAAAAGAAAATGCAGCTTTCTCTTCATCCTCTCCTCTTTTTTGCTTTCCTGTCGATGTTATGGATGTGTTGGAGTGACAGTTTGGGCACTGCATCTTTGAAGGAAGTAATTCTGGTGTTTTCCTGTGCCCTTTGTTGTTGCAGGTGCTGAGGACGTGGTGATGGCATTTTCCAGATCAGAGACAGAAGACAGAAGGCAGTAACTACAGGACACCTGAACAACACAGAGCTGGAGAGGACAGTGAGATCCCTGAAGATAGAGGAGGATGGCTGAGCATTAATAAGTTCCTTTGCCCACCCTAATTGTTCCTTGGTATTCCTTCTCCTTTGTAATGTTGTTTCCCTTTGCCCAACCCTCAGGATGCATCTCCCAGCCATCCATTCCTGTCAGATTTTGCTCCTCAGCCAGGCTGTGTTCATTAAGGACAGACCCAGAGGGGTGGTTTTGGTTGGCTCAGAGGGACAGGCAGTGCTTGGCTAAAGGAAGGCAATTTTTTCAAACTTGACCAATGGAAAACCTTTTATCTCACGTTTTATTTTGTATTTTAAAGAAAAGTCTCTCGACATCCTACTTCTAAAGAAGCTTTTCATGCTGTGGTGCTTATTTAGGTCAAACTTGTGAACTTGAAGAGGGTTTGATTTGGCTGCATAGAACTGGAAGCAACTTGTGATTGGGTGACAATGCAAATGCTTTCCCTTCAGTTGGCTTGCAGGTATTTTGCTGACTCCCAACATTTTCATTGCAGGAAGCTGATGTTTTGGTGCATTGGTTATTTCTTTACACTCACTGACTTGCAGAGGGGGGTGGGGGGGAGGGAGACAAATGTGCTTTGCAATATTTATTACACCTACACACATATAAAGGCTTGCTTTTGGGGGGTTGTTTTGGTTTTGTTTTTTTGTTTTTTTTTGATTGGCTTTGGAGTCATGTTTTTTGATTTCCTTTTGGCTGCAGTGTTTCTGATGCAATCAGTTTTTCCACACTCAGCTGCTCTGTGGCCTCGAGCTCTTTTTGGGAGCATGTGTCGAAAAGCAGATTTGGTTCAATAAATCCACCTGTTTAGGCTGGAACATGGAGATTCCCAGCCCTCCTGGGCTGTGCCATGAGCTCCTGGCACACCTGGCTGCTCAGGTGGCCTCTCCCTTTGCTTCTGACAGAGGAGCTGTAGATGTTTTGCAGGAATTGCAAGAGTGAGATCTATGGCTGTGACATGAATTTGCCAAATTTGTATAGAGGATATGTGAACTTGTTTAAAACAGTACAGAGAGTTCCACTTTAACCCTTTAATTGCTGCACAAGACTAACTCTCACATTAGGAAAAATTAATGATCATTAACTTAAATCCAGCTTGCACTGGGGTTTAATAAACTGAGTTTCTGGTCGCTTGAAAAATTGTACCTGGTTTGCCTCCTTGCAGCTGTTTGGTGATAGGGAAATGCTGTGGATCCCAAGATAATCCCATTTTCTTTAGGCACTATTCCAAGAGGCAGGAGCTGCATTAAGCTGTCCAACACTGAGTGTACAGGTGACACTCTCAGGTTTACTCTCCTTGTAGCTGCAGGGCCTTAAAACACACACACACAAACACACATTTACAGACTGAAAAACCTGCAGTGGAATTCCTGAAGTGCACTGACTGTCCAGGAATCTGCACATGGTCTTTAGCACTGCTGCCTAAAACCAAGCACTTCATTCTCTCTCATGTGTGTGCAGGTGGTTTTTACAAAACTTCTGGATTTTGCTGTGGGTTGCACTGACTTTGAGATGTTTCAGAATCTATTAAAGCTGAACTCCATTCACCTGACCCTGGTTCCTTTGGTATGGTTAATTACTCGCAGTGACAATTCTAGAACCTGACTGTGACAACATGACCATTTTTGTGGCAGGAGGTTCTGCTGACAGGATGCTGTTCTGGCAGCAAAATAGGGGAGAAGCTGGAGAAAACCATGGACTGTGTGCAAGTGGAAGAATGGACTTGTGAGCAGAAGGAGGAAATTGTCTTGAGCAAATAAATCCTGTGTAATGAGAGCAACAGTACATCTATTCATGAAAACACTCCTTTTAATTCAGTTGCAGCTTTGTCAAGTTCAATGTGAAGGTAAATCTCTCTCCCCTGTTCATTGGGGCTGGATAAGAAATTTCTTTATTAAAATAAACCAGGAATGAGCCCAAAAGATTCTTTAAATTTTGACCTGGTTGCCTAAGAGGCACTTTAATGTTAACTTTTGGTGCAAAGGGGGGCAGCCCTTAAAGGGTTAATTTAGGGGGGTGGGGGTGTTTCTGGCTGGAAGGGATGGGCCTAAAAAGAATCCTCCATGTGTATCTGTGGCATTCCTGAGCTGGTAAATCTTTTCAAGAAGAAAAGCAAAGTGTTTATGTGGTTTAATCTTTTCACTAAAAATGTTACTGTTGGGGAGGGAGGGGAGAAATACAGTTTTTAATAGCTACTCTTGTTTCATATTGATTTATTACACTGTTGAACTGCCCAATGAAAAATTGCTTCACCTTTGTTGAAGGACTTCCATAGACACTCCAAACTTGGGGTCTTGAGTAATTATGTTGAGAAGGATATTCTGAAAGAAGCCAACATGTTTTATAGTCACATGATATGGAATCCAGACACTGGAGGAGTTGTAGTCTCTTGAGAATATCTGTGCTCTGCCCCTTCCCACTGGTGATTCCTTAACTTTCAACCAGAGCTGGAAGATCTGTAATAAAGAACTCACATATAAATCAGGGAGAAAGCAGTGACAAAGAGGGCTTTCCAGCATTCCTTTTGAATTATATTTCTAAGCATTTATCTTCTTGATTTCTTCTGTGAAAACAAAATCCCCATTCCAGCTGTGGAATCTGGATTAGCTGGGAGGTGGAGAAACCCCCCCCCAGAACATGAGCGTGGTGGACTTGCTTGTTGCTTGTACAGATTTTTCAAGCTTGGCCTTTGTGTTTTGCCTTTTCAAGCAAATCATTACTAATAAAACTAAGAACTGCAGTGGTTTAGAGGTCAGAGGTGAGCACAGATCTAATTTGAAATGTGTTTGTGAGTAGAAAAGGCTTTGTGGTCACTACCAACCAAATAGTGCTTCAGGCATATTCAGCAAGGGAGTGTAAAAGCTTCAGAGGCATCTTCCAAAAAACACTCTTTGGGTGGTCTTTTTGGGAGACATGTTCCTTTAGATACTCAAAATGTGCTATTGTTCTGCTTCTCTTGCCAAGCTGATCATGAACCTCTCCCAACACAGTTTCCCAGAGCTTGAGGAGAAGGTTCAGAGCTGAACCAGAACCCTCCTCTCTCCCCACATGGGCAGCAGTTGCTGTTTGTGGCTTGTTGTGGCTGAGCTTGGCCCCTTGTAAATGAAAATGAGACTTCACCACTCACACAGACCTTGAGTTTGATTCTCCCAGCTCCTAAAACAAAGCCTGGAGGAACAGAATGTGTGAGCTGGAGGCACAGCAAGGCTTTGGGAGGAGGTACTGCCTGGAAGAAGCTTGGACCACTAATAAAATAAAATAAGCCCTTTTGATTTTTTGTTCCTGTTCCTACCTAAGGTAAGTAGTTACTGGAAGTTGTGTCCTCTTGGCTGGTGAAAGTTTCTAAAGCTTTACCATTAAATCTGGTTCAGTTCCATAAAGTCTGTGTTTCTAATTCACCAGCAGCCCGAATAGTTCTGGTGAAGGTTGAGGATTAAATGGCCCATGGAATGCAAAGAGCCATCACCTGGAGCAGAAATTATCCTAAATAAGACCTCAGGGTCATATGTGGGATAAATTTCTATAGTTATTGAGAGTCCCTTACAAGAACAGAGCAGTGCCATGTCTGAAGTTACCAGTGTTTTATATTATTTTATATTTATATTACAAGGGGAAAAAAGGGCCAGAGGTTAAAAGCTTTGAATCAGATACATATATATATATAATGTGTTAGAAATTATTTTATGAAGGATACGGAGTGCCTGGGCAGGGAGGGGAAAATATGATTTGGATTCCTTTAAGATCAGTCCTTCAGCTTTCTTTTTGGTTTCTTGCCTCCTCAAGGACTGTGGCAGAGCTGGCAGCACAAAAGGCTGCAGGGTACTGGGAGCAGCAGGAACCAGGAGTGCAGGAAGAACAGCTTCTGGAATTTTAAGAAATCTTGAGTTGTATTCAGTGTCTCCAACACAAAGAGTCCTTAGTGAGTAGCATCTCTTCCTCACTGTAACCCACCAGTAACAAAGTGTTCCAAAGCTCAGTTGTTAATAAAGAGCTTTTAAGAAGCTTTGTTAAAGCTGCACAATAGTTGTTTTAGGTGTAACAGGAGCACTAAAGTGCTGCACAGTTGCTGCCTGGTGGGATATTTGCTGAAGGCAGCTGATTTTTAACCCAGCTGACAGCAATGTGGTACATCCAGCATCATCCTCATCCTCATCCTGCTCCACATCCAGTGGGTCTGGACCTGTTTGTTGCCCAGTGCTGCAGTCAGAGGTGCAGGTTCTGTGCAGGGCAAATCCCTGCTCGCAGCATCCCCTGGAAATGACATTTATTGCTTAATTTCTTTGAGGTGAAATGTTTTGATTTGTTTTATTTCATCTTCTGGCAGTTGTTTTATTTCTGACAGTATTCTTATAGATCCTGACAGTTAGGCCTGGATGACTTATTTCAATAAAGTTAGGCAATATAAGTGGCCTCACACCAAACTAGCTTTTAAGGGTGTTAAAATGTCAGATGTCTGTAATCAGGAGCCAGGCACAGCACTGATGGGTGATGGGTGGACAGACTTTTTCTTGCAGCCTCAGGTGATCAGTGATTTGCATCCTGCAAAGTCTGTTCCCTGTGTATCTGTGAATTCTGGAGCAGTCAGTAAATAGGTCACTGGCTGCCGTGGTGGCTCTTCCAGGCCTGCCTTGGACTTGCTGTATTTACAGACACTTTGCACTGCAGTTTCCCTTAAAGCTCCCTGTTACTGCTGCTTTTCCCAGTTTTACAGGTACAGCAGTGCTGTACAACAGGGAGGACTGTTGTTACTTACCAGGGTAGGAACTTGGATCTGTTCCCTGTCAGACAGAGGTGGGTTCCCATCCAAAGACAGAGAAGAGATCACCTCCTGCCTTCTGAGCTCTGCTTTCATTTGCTCTGCAGCTGATTTGCCCTGAGCAGGATTCCTGCAGTACGTTGTAAACAACCTGGCTGGTTTCCCTTGTAGCCTAAAGCACTTCAATTTTGGGGATTGTTTATTTTGGAAAGGAGAAAAAGTTAGGGGTTTTTGATGCTTTATAGCCTGGCCTGCTTAGAAGTTGCCTCATGTATCAGCATGAAGCAGTTCTGA